AGAATGAGGGCATACCTCGAAGTCGTCCAAAGCCTCACTAAGCAGTTCAACAAGTTTGAGCTGACAAGGATCCCAAGAGGAGAGAACTCCTCGGCAGATGCGTTGGCTGCTTTAGCATCCACATCAGACCCCCTCGTAAAGCGGATTATACTTGTAGAGGGAATCGAAAACCCAAGTATCGATATAGCTACCAAATCTGAAATCGATAGCAAACCAAAAGAGCAAACGAAAGTTAGCTATTCCGAGACAATAACAACCCAAGTTCTCACAACATTCTGGTTCCCAACAACCAAAATTTTCAATTTCAAAAAGCATACCTCCGGGGGCACGACCCAGACCCCGGACTCACATGTTTATACAACATCCACTCCCTCTGACATTGGAGGTACCTCCAGGGGCACGACACAGACCTGAAGATATTCTACGGAATTTAGACTCCCTTGAGCCTAACCCAAGGAATATCTCCGGGGGCACGACCTCTGGCCACAATAACACTCAGGAACCTGAGCCCGAACAGGAACCTCCGTTGTCTCTTCATGACAAAATCGTAGGAAGAGAAGACTGGAGAATACCAATTATGCAGTATATCTTGGAGGGTAAGGTCCCCCTCCCCCAAAATGGGAAGCTCGAAAACTCAAAGCGTTAAGCACAAAATACTGCATAATGGAATCCACCCTTTATAAACGAAGTGTGTCGGGACCTTACCTAAGATGCGTCCATGGCCTCGATGCTATCAAACTCATGAAGGAAATGCACGAGGGCACCTTTAGAAACCACGCCCGATGGCAGAGCCTTAGCTATCCGAATCAAAAGACAGGGCTATTTCTGGCCTACCATTATCGCTGATTGTGAGGTCTACTCATCTTCATGCGAAAAATGCCAGAGGCATGCACCAATTAGATATCAGCCTACGGAAAAACTATCCTCGATATCCGCCCCATACCCATTCATGAGATGGTCCATGGATATCATAGGACCGCTAGTAAAATCAGGAAGAGGAAAGCAAAAGCTAGGCTTCCTTTTAGTTCTAACAGACTACTTCACCAAATGGATAGAAGCTGAAGCTCTCCAGCAGGTAACTAAAGTCAAAACCGAACGACTCGTAACCAATAACGGGTCACAATTCATATCTAATGACTTCAAAGCATTTTTCGACAAGTGGAAAATTCGTCTCACTATGTCGACACCTCGATACCCTCAGAGAAACAGTCAGGCGGAGGCTGCTAACAAGTCGATATTAGCAAACCTCAAGAAACGTCTCGGAATCAGTAAAAGTTCTTGGTTTGAAAGACTACCTGAGGTGCTTTGGGCATGCCGAACCACCCCACGAAGGGCTACGGAAGAAACTCCCTTCCCCCTAGCCTACGGGATGGAAGTTGTCGTCCCACACAAAACCATCACTGGGAGCCTCCGCCGAGAGCTCTGTATGTCTAATCCCGAAGCCAACAATCAGCTCCTATTAGATAACCTCGCTTTAATCGAGGAACGGCGAAACCAAGCCTTGCTCCGCATTCAAAACTATCAACAAGCAATGGCCCGACATTACAACTCTAAATTCAAGTCCCGACAATTCGTTGCAGGTTACCTAGTACTTAGAAAAGTTTTCAATCATACCAAAGAGCCGTGCGCTGGGAAACTAGGAACCAACTGGACAGGTCCCTATCGGATCATCCACATGGTATGACCCGACGTCTACAGGCTCCTGAAGGTACGAACCTGGGTACCTGAAATCCGATCATGGAACGCCATGAATCTCAAGAGATACTATCATTAGGTACCTAAACTCCATGAACTACGTTAGGCTTGATCCCTTGACTGGGTACGTAGGCAACTCTGTCATGAGTGCAGCCCCAACCTCATTTCAGCATTCTTTTCACCATAGCCAAAGGGGCATATGTTTAAAAACACATAGCCCAGACAGCAACTGTATGATTGCTACAACGCGATGTATTCTATAAAAGTTATCAATGAAGCGATTACATGAAAACATTTTGAGTTTCCTTCAAACAAATCCAGGTCCCTACGAACCTGGACCTAAGGTCTTAAAATCCTTCAAACAAATCCAGGTCCCTGCGAACCTGGACCTAAGGTCTTAAAATCCCTCAAAGGAACTCAGGTCCCTACGAACCTTAACCTAAGGACTTAAAATCCTTAGTAAATTCGGAAGTCTTGAAAACTTCCGAACGAATCCAGATTTACGTGAATCTACCCTTAATGGCCTTAAAATATCTCTGGAAAGAATTTAGATCCCTAAAGATGTTAATCTAATCTCGAAGGTCTAGGAACTCATTCCTGATAATCTCATGACCAATCACAATCGAAATCACTGAGACCTCTAAGGTTACAAGGTCAGTTGTTAACAAGATCCACGATCTGATTCCGGAAAGATCACATGAATCCCATACTTAAAAAGTCACAATACATGACTCGAGTTTACACTTCAAAGTCAAACAAATCCAGGTCCCCACGAACCTGGACCTAAGGTCTTAAAATCCTTCAAACGAATCCAGGTCCCTACGAACCTGAACCTAAGGTCTTAAAATCCTTCAAACGAATCCAGGTCCCTACGAACCTAGACATAAGGTCTTAAAATCCTTCAAACTAATTAAGGTCTCCATGAACCTGAACCTAAGGTCTTAAAATCCTTCGAACGAATTCAGGTCTCCGTGAACCTGAACCTAAGGTCTTAAAATCCTTCAGACTAATTCAGGTCCCCGTAAACCTGAACCTAAGGTCTTAAAATCCTTAGTAACCTCAAAGGTCTTAAAATCCTTTAACAAGCTAATTCAGGTTTCCACAAACTTAAACCTAAGGTCTTAAAATCCTTAGTAACCTCAAAGGACTTAAAATCCTTCAGACTAATTCAGGTCTCCGTAAACCTAAACCTAAGGTCTTAAAATCCTTTAAACAAGATAATTTCAGGTTCCCAAAGAACCTCAATCTAAGGTCTTAAAACCCTTAACAAAACTCAAGGTCTTAAAATCCTTCGAAAACAATTCCAGGTTCCCAAAGAACCTCAATCTAAGGTCTTAAAACCCTTAACAAAACTCAAGGTCTTAAAATCCTTCGAAAACAAATCCAGGTTCCCAAAGAACCTCAATCTAAGGTCTTAAAATCCTTAACAAAACTCAAGGTCTTAAAATCCTTTGAAACCAATTCCAGGTTCCCAAAGAACCTATATCTAAGGTCTTAAAACCCTTAACAAAACTCAAGGTCTTAAAATCCTTCGAAACAAATCCAGGTTCCCAAAGAACCTCAATCTAAGGTCTTAAAACCTTAACAAAACTCAAGGTCTTAAAATCCTTCGAAAAAAAAAAATCCAGGTTCCCAAAAACCTCAACCTAAGGTCGCAAAACCCTTAGCAGCGTTCGAGATCTAAAATAAATCGCAAGTAAATTTAGGTCCCAGAAACCCATTCTCGGGACCTCTCGCTAAAAGGCTACGGGACCTGTTATCAACATGCTCCCCGACCATCACCCGAAAGTTTCCTAGACCTCATGTCTAACGACTAGGGACATGTTACTAACAAGACCCAAAGTCCTTCGTTCAAGGAAGTAAAGACTTCTACTTAGACGATCGAGTCCGTACTAAGGAATTCATCAAAACATCGACGAAACCCTTAGCGAAAATTTTTATCCCAGTCAAGATCAAATTAAAATCTTTATAAGTCGAAGGCAGGATAAAACGAAAAAAGGATTTAAAAGCCTCCACAGGCTACTTAAGTTCGAAGATCTTAACAAAGCAAAGGTTTAAAGGCCTCCTCAGGCCACAAGTTTTAACAAAGATAAAAAGAAAGCCCATTGGGCAGAAGTCTTGGGAACACGAAGACATAATCGCTATCTCAACAAAGAGATAGAGATCAGGCGGTTGAGCTTTAGCTTTCGAGAAAAGAGGTCTCATCTCGAAAGCTGGGGGCAACTGTTGGGCCCAAATATGGCCCGCTAGCTGAGACTAATGGGCTCGAGTGATAAGAGTTGACAATGGGCCACTGTAAGCCCATTGGCAATTAATCTTTTGAGAAAAGAGTTAAAAAGAAGCCGGAGGCTGTTTGCTAAGGAAGGGACGTCAACAAAACAGGTCATGGAGGAGAGGTCCGGACCTCATTTGCAAAGAGATAACAAGAGTAGCTCAGGCTGGTTGCGCAGGACCCGGTCAAAAGGCGACTGTTGAGAATCCCCCAACTCACGGAGCAAATCTCGGAGGCTGGTTAGGATTATTCAAACGTGGCTGAGAGCTATTTAAGGACGAGGAGGAGATCAGAGAAAGGGGATCTTCTCTTGATTCATTCATTCTACCATTGACACACATTTTAGTTCATTAAACATTCTCATAAGTCCTTGTAATCATCAGAATCATCTTTGTAATCATTTCTTTACCAAAAACATCAATACAATCATAATTCATTCTCTAAGTTCTAACGGAATTCAGCCCACGTTATCTTTTCTCCAATCTAAACCTGATCTAAATTAGGAAGTGAGTTTTATCCCTCACAGATACTCTTAATACATTTTTAAACTAAAATCATATATTTAGTTATGCTATATGTATATAAAATTAATATTATTATGTATTCGGATACCCGTTCGGTTCTCGGTTCGGTTCTGGTTTGGTTTGGTTATTTCGGATATATAAATATAAGAACCGTTTGGATATTTGAGGGTTTCGGTTTGGTTCTGGTTTTGAATATTTCGTTTCGGTTCCAGTTCGGTTCTTCGGTTCCGATTTTTTTGCCCAGGCCTACCGTTTACGGTTGTGTGGATTCACGAACAGAGAAGGAGAGGTTTCATACACAAAAAAGGGACTAATTAGAGATAGAAGACTCGATTATTCACTCATTTAGACTATACTTTGAAATAGTAGTATGTCGATAAAAAAAAAGTTGTTACTAGAGAAAATGTGCTCACATATGGAATCCTCAAACATTTTCCTTATTCAAATTGAAAAGAGTTTCAAGATAATTTCAAATGTTACACCTTGAACAATGGCAATATAAAAAGTTTTTAAGTCCAATGGGTAATGACCGGGATGAGTTCAAGTGGAATCTTCTTAGGAGAGACAAGTCCATATGATTCTTCAAGATCAACATCTTTTGCTTCCATTCCTTCCGGAAGATTCCAGTCAAAACGGTAAAGAAGATTGATAAGAGTCAAGTGTACCAAAGACATACCCAAACCCATACCAGGGCACATCCTCCTCCCGCTACCGAACGGCAACAACTCAAAGTTTAGACCTTTGTAGTCAATCTCTTTTTCCATAAACCTCTCGGGAATAAAAACTTCTGGATCTTTCCAAATGTTTGGGCTCCTGTGAATAGCCCATACATTGACTTGGATCCATGTATTCTTTGGAATGTCGTAACCCCCAATCTTTAAATCTTTCGACGCCTCTCTTGGAACTAGAAGTGGCAAAAGTAGGTTTATCCTAAGTGTTTCGTTAATGACCATTTTGAGATATTCGAGTTGTTCCATATCTTCTTCTATGATATTGTCTTTGTTTTTTATCACTTCTCGTACCTCAGCTTGCACTTTCTTCATCACTCTTGGGTTTGCAATCAAATGCGTCATCACCCACGTCACAGTATGGGCAGAAGTATCTATTCCACCAATAAGAATATCCTATAATAACCAATAAGACAAGATTCAAACGTTATGCAACATGTAAAGAATCAAATTATATTAATTGAGAAGTTTCATTACTTACTAGAAGAGTTCCTTTGGTATGGTTTCGTGTAAATTGAAACTCTCCAGGTCCAGTCTCTTTAGATTCCATCTTGAGAAGCAAGGCAATGAAATCATCTTTGATACTTTCATCTTCCAAATGGCACTTTATGGATTGATCAAAAAATGCATCCATTACTTTAAAAACCTTCTCACATTTGCTATGTAACCCTGTGATCCTATCGATGAGTTTACCAATGACCGGGAAGTAATCTGATGCTGCAAAACTTCCTAACACCTCCATGGTTCCTTGGATGACTTCCTCATAAGTGTTCTCGAGTTCACTTCCTTTAAGATTTATCCCAAACGCAACTCTACAAATCACACTTCCCGACAACTTCTTTTTTTTTTTTTTTTTTTTGAATGAATGTCAAATTATATTCATCAAAAACAGCCTGCTTACATCAAATGCATACTCATTGTATCAATTTTCTACTCAAATTTTACTACACATACTGCAACAAACAAGGAGGCAATTATACTC